CTTAGAAACTTATCATGCTCCAAAAGCTAAGTATGAGTGCGAGGCAGGTCATCTCTTAACTGCTATAAAGGATTTTAAATTCTTAATTTAACTATTTGGGCGAATATGCTTCGCGAAATCAATCGAGTGAATATAGAAATTCAGAATGAAGATATTATCCTTGCTCGTTTCGTCGTACTATTGGATGGTATGCTCAAAACTTTGCAAAAAATGAAACAACATTCAATGAAACATAAAAAAGGCTGGAGAAGTTGCTGATAAAACTGGTTGATCCTATTTTGCACAACAAACAAATTTCAAAACTTGAAACATATTTTGATGAGATGTGTGAAGACGAATTACAAACAGTCTAAACTGTTCAACTCTTTTCTAAAGGAATAATGATGGTATTTGATCGAATGATATCAGAAATTAAAAAGATGTTTGATTGTGCTATATACCATGCTGAATTTGTTTTCCTTAATAGTACTAATATTTTGAAAATGTCAATTGAAGAACTGCAAAAGTGCGGGGAGTAGATCTGTCTCGAAAATACGAGCGAGATTTAAGCACCGTTAAATTCTGCCAGGAACTCTACGGTTTTAAACAACAAGCTCCACTTTTGTTTGGTGCTAACGGTTTCTATCTCTCGCAACAGATCTATGCGAATGATTTGTAGGATGCTTTTTCTAATATTTGTATTGCTCTACGCTTCCTACTACATCCGAAAGCTGCGAGGAGAGTTTTAGAAAACTGAAACTAATTAAAAATTGCTCTATGAACCAGGAAAGCTTATCGAGTCTTGCAATCTTAGAGATAGAAAATCGAATGGCATATGAGTTGAATTATGATAAGTCCATATATTTATTTGCTGAATAAAAAGATCGGAGAGTAGAATTATAATTTCAGTTATAATTTCAATATTTTCATTATACATATTTTTATTTCAAATCCTATCCTGTGCTATGTATAAAATATAATTCCTACACGTTCATGTCTACATATCAGTAAATAAATAAGCCTAACACAGAAATAACAGCGATGGATGCATTATTTCCAAATGTCACTCAATTGTCAAAAAATTGTGGATCCGGGGCTGAGATTTATTTAACTTATTTTTTTATTATCTAAAGAATATATTGACGAAACAGGTACGTGTAAGAACTTGACAAAAAAAAAATAATTGCAGAAGAAACTTTACCTCGGTTATATCAAAGGTGCATATTTGTTCCATCCTTTACATAAAAGAGGACATATGCTTCTCCACTCACAAGCGATTTTGGTGAAATTGGTGACACATGTGATTCGTTGTATTTGTGCCACGCGCCAGTATACGGGGGTCTGCAGTATGCTGTATGCCCTCGGTTAGTAGTCCCACTGTGATTAAAAAGTGCATATAGATTATAACAACAAGTAGCCACATTTTCTGCTGCAAAATTGTCCATATCCTGTTATATCCAAGCAGAAACTGAACAAATTCATGGCCAGACAGTAGTTCAGCAAGGAACTTCCAATATTTTCTGGACAAGCTGGAGAGTGGATCAATTTCGTTAATCAGTTCAAAGAAAAAACTAAAATTTGTGGATTTTCCAATGCCGAAAATATTGTGCGACTTCAAAAATGTCTAAGAGGTAAAGCCAGGTATTAATACACTGGATACCCGATTCGGTAGACCCGATGTAATTATTCAAGACCTAATAGATTGTGTGAGGAGGATTCCCGCTTGAGAGAAGACAAATTAGACAACATTTTAGACTATTCCAATAAAATTCAAAATCTGGCAGTTACTGCGCAAAGTTTAAAACGTGTTGAATATTTGTTGAATCCAAACCTTTTGAACGACGCAGTCTGTCACAATTGTAGAATTTTCTCTTTGGCTTGAAGAAGTAAGTGAGGCCATAATGTACGTTGTTTCTGAAAGAGAACTGGATAAAAAGAAGAGATATGTCTGTACAACATCCATTCAACCAGATAAACCAAAATTCAGATGTAAATTCTGCAAGAAAGACGGACATGAAGTAGAGAAGTGTCACAACTTCAAAAAATTAGAAGTTGAGAAATGTTGGGACTGGGTGAAAGAAAATAAAGTATGATTCAGTTGTTTAGGATCATCACATCACACAAAACTTTGTAAGAGCAAGAAAACATGTGATGTTAATGACTGCCTTTAGTAACATCATCCTTTGTTATATAAAGAACCCGAAACAGTACTGGAAAACTCTGAAAATCCAGTCTGCCATCATTCCGCCAGGATCCAGGAGTCTTAATTTTTATTGAGAATAACTTCTGTAAAATTAACTGGCCCCAAAGATAAAATCAACACCTATGTTCTTTTTGATGAATGTTCTACAGTGAACATGCTGTATTGGCTGAGAAATTAGCTGAACTCAGTTGGGCAAATTCTATGACCTGCGAAGAACTCCACTCGAAGAAGATCAGTTTGAAGATTAGAGAAAAAATGAAGATACTAAATACGATTCAAACGATGTTAGAACTATCCATAACTTATCTCTTCCTGTACATTCAATGAACTCTAAAAGTCTATCTAAGAAATGGAATCATCTTCCACAAGTAAATATTGAATCTATGCACTGTGTGAAACCACAAATTCCTATCGGAATTGGTCTCATCATTGCTAGAGAAGTTCACGAAGGAGAAAAAAAACAACCTATTTTATCTAGATCGAAGTTACGATGGGTTGTGCATGGAATCAACACAAAACAGTATTTTGGACGAGTAGATCAAGAATTTTCCGTTTTTATAAACCATCAATATGACGATTTTGACCAACTAGTTGAAAATTCTTTCTGTAGCAGCTAATTTCTCAGCCAATACAGCATCAACCATGGTCACCGTAGAACATTCATCAAAAAAAGCATAGGTGTTGATTTTACCTTTGGGGCCAGCATGGGATAAACCATTACTAGATCAAGCAACTAGTATTTTACTGAAGACAGTTTCTGACACTTTAAAAAATAAGGCTCGTCTTCTCGCAGTAACTGTGAAAGAATCTGGTGCTTGGTTAAATGTTGTTCCTGTAGCATCACTTGGGGCTCTATTGGATGACGAATCTTTCAGACTTGCCATCGGATTTTGACTTGGTACACCACTGTGTGTTCAAAACTTTTGTAAATGTGGTGCATTTGTGGATGAATCAGGTACTCATGGGTTGAGCTGCCGTTTTAGCGCTGGTCGTTTATCTCGCCATTATGCGATTAATGATCTAATTAAAAGGGCTTCAACTTCAGCAAAAATTTCTGCGATTTTAGAACCCATAGACACAAGTCGAGACGACGGAAAACGGCCGGATGGTACGACACTTGTTCCATGGAAAAATGGTAAATCTGTTGTTTGGGACTTTACTTGTGTAGATACATCAGCAACTTGCCATCTTCCTGCTACTTCTGCGAAAGCCGGTGCTGCTGCCTCTTTAGGAGAAATGTCCAAACTACGGAAATATCAGAATTTGGGAAATAATTATATCTTTCGCCTAATAGCTGTTGAAACTTTTGGTGTTTTTGTCTCTGAAGCCTTATCTTTCATCAATGAAATTGGAAAAAAGTAACCGATGACCCACGAATCAAGAGCCACATCTTTTCTCATTCATTAAATGAGTATGGCCATTCAAAGAGGAAATGCAGCTTCGTTTTTCGGTACTCTTCCTGATTCCAAAAAACTTGATGAAATTTACATGTTTCTTGAAAACCAATTTTATAAAGAAAAGAAAGGTAATAACAAACCACTTTATGGAATTAAAATGAAAGCAAATAGAAAAAATACGTTCAGCAAAATTCTCAAATGGGTTTCAAAGTAATTTCAAATTGTTCAGTGATAAATTTTTCAGTCAAAACCCGTGGGTTAAATAGTTTTAAAAAATATTGGTAACTAAAAAATATTGGAACAGGTTCACACGCAACGCAACTGTAAAGTAGTTCCAGCCTGCGTTAGATGTGCCGGACGGCACATGACCAAGGAATTCAAAAGACCTGAAAACACGCTCTTGCGATGCTTTAACTGCAAGGAAGAACACCCAGAGAGCTTCTATGGGTGCCCTGAAAATAAAAGGGCCTCAGATGGGCTGAACGAAAACATAAGACCACAAACCCAAGGCCTGTCGGAATAAACTCAATCATGAGCAACGTCTCGTCTGTGAGGGCCGTCTCATCGTCAGAGAACACCTGCAGCTCTCATGAAGGTCTCCCAACGGCTTTAGGGCAGCTGCAGTTCTAGTGAAGTTTCCGGTGCTGCAATCCATGCTTGCCGGAAAATAAAACAGGAAACAGTGCCTAAACGGCCGCAAAGCCAAAGAAGTACGTTGCGACTTCTACACACAGGGCAAAGAGCCAAAAGAAGACGACAGAGGACCATGCAATCCCCTGCCGCCCCGCCACAGAAACCCAAGAAGAACTCAAACAGCCGAAAGGATAAGGGGCCCTAGGCCCATAAATCTGACTTGAACAAGATAACGAAGACTGAATTATAATCATTAAGTTATACATTTTCAACATTCACTTAAATGAGTAAATATGTTTTAAGTGAAATCCATCCATTGTTGACATTTCAAAGCTAAGTATCTTCTGAAGGAATGAACCTATTTTCAAAAGCAAAGCAGCAATAGATAAGGAATCGAAAGCCCCTTTCTTTGAGATATCGCTTTATCTCCTTAATAATTTCATGAAATTGAGAGACGACACATCTGCTTGGATGGTCGGAGTTTTGCAATGATTTTAGATCAAAACTTGTTCCCCTTATAAACAACATAATTTTTGTATTTTTGCGAAAAACTTCATTCTTTGGCAGTTATAAGTCATGCGGTAAAATGTTTACAATTATTCCATCTATTTTACTAGCTTTCTTCGTTTGCTATCAATGCCGATGTCTTAACATGAATTCTCGACAAACCACCATAATCGATCGTTCTCTACGCTGCCGCTGTTAGTTAACCCCTCCGTCATGATTCACCATTGATTCATCTATTTCCACAAGAAGGTAGGCAGAGACATAATATTCATTTGTTGCAGGTCTGCAGGGGATGCGTTGACCCCATCAGTTGGCACCGGAGGCGATGATGGAATCGTTGGGGGACCCCGGACGCCCCAACAAATCGCTGCTCAGCGAAGGCTGCAGCAGACTCAAGCTCAGGTGGACGAAGTCGTGGATATTATGAAAACGAACGTAGAAAAAGTTCTGGAACGCGATCAGAAATTATCTGAATTAGATGATAGAGCGGGTAAGTGATTTGCTTTGCCTAATCTCCTTCCGAGTTCATGAACGAATAATCCAGAAGTTAGTGACTCGTTTATGTATTGAAAATTGAATAAATGAACTACTACTATTTCCTAACTATTTGAAAATAATATTTCAATAACTTTTTGAGAAAAATCATCATTTCTTTTTTTAATTTTGTACATTGTCGGAAACTAACTTTCAGTAACTCCTTTTGTAGTTGAGTGCCGGATCTAAAACCTCTAATATCCCAAACTGATTTTTTTTATTCCAACCAACTCGAAACGTTCCGAAGAAATGGTGAATGGAGGAATGCGAAAATGGCGAAGGAGACGGGACAATTTTATAACTTACTCCATATTTATTTTATAAATGTATTGAAAAATTGAGAGACTGACTATAAAGAACTAGATTTTTATTTTATTTCAATAATGAATCTTTCATAGCAGTACGGACTGTTATCATCACTGACTTGTAATTATTTTTCGGCAGATGCGCTACAACAAGGAGCCTCACAATTTGAACAACAAGCAGGAAAACTCAAGAGAAAGTTTTGGTTACAAAATTTGAAGGTGAGTTTTTTTCATTCAGTCCTACAATTTTTCCTACAATTCCAAACACGTCGATATTTGAACAAGAATTATTTTCATTGATTTCATGAATGCTTGAAAAATATTGTTCATATATTTTAGTTCTGTATGGCGACATAAATATTATATTAAGCGCACAATTTCTTCTACATCGAAGTTAGATCTTCGAAAAAATGATGACTAAATAAACCTTATAATTATCTTACCCGTTATCTTTTTTTAGTTGTATAAATAAATTAATTTTATAACTGTTATCTATTATTCAGATCAGTTTATATTTCCTTTTTCCAATATATTTTTGTATCCCATATTATCCTTGGCAAGCGGTAATTTTAGTTCCGTATGTTTTTTAATATCTTTTTTTTAATATTTTTAGGTTTCAAATCCTACATCTTTCAGACAGTAAACCATGATCATTGAATTAAAAACATAAACATGTTAAAAAAAATGTTAACTTACCAAGGTGAAAGTGAAAATGGGAGATGAATCTTTTTTTTATGCATGCAAACTATGGATTTATTTATTTTTTTATGTACTTCGTCCGGGATCTCGACATAAAAAATAAACTATTGTCAATCTCATTCAAACTTATTTTATTGAATTCAAACCTAAAATCTAATTTTTATGAGGAAAGCCCTTCTCAATTTATTTTATGATTGAAATTGTTTCTCTACACTCTTCTTCTCGTTTCAGATGATGATAATAATGGGTGTGATTGGACTCGTAATTTTAATCATCATTGTCAGTGAGTATTACCTAAATTATTCTAATTTATGATTCTGTATATTACAAACCTTTTATTGATAATGAAAATCGCAACAAGAAATGCAATATTTAAAAAATGTGTATTCCTCTCACAAGGCCATTCAGCATATTTTCTTTAAGTCAATATGTATATCTTTCCATCCCAAACTATCAATAATTCTTCGAAAACATTGAAGAACCCTTTAATTAACTAGCTGATTTTTTCCATATAGTGAACTTCATGTAACTCATGGGCCAAAAGATTCGGTAAATGAATGAAATTTGTGTTTTGATGTGAAGGCTTTCTGTCTGTCTTTCTGTCGTAGATTATCTGAAAAAACTCTCTTCTTTTAATCACCCCGTATTAGATAAGAAGTAATAGATGTTTTATCATCACATGTGAGTAAGCAAGCCAATGTAATTCTTTCACCTTTTGAGCTGAGATATGTTTGGTGGTGACGAAAAAAAAATTCCTCTGTTCACTCATGGTTGTTTTATTTTGGAACACTGCGAAGTTCCTATTAATCTGTACTGTTTAAAAAATTCAAAAGTCTTTCAAACTTTTCTATTTGATACCTACTATAAAGGAACGTATTCGTTACATTATTTCAAACTAAGTTACTTCGTTTTGTCAATTTTCTAAAACACTTAATTGACTCATGAAACCGTTTATACCTTCTGAACCAGGTATGGTCATTCCAACTATGTTAGCCAAAATACTCATAATATTTAGGACTATCATAGGACAAGCACAATACCAAGGAATTGTCTGTCTTTATAAACGATAGAAAAGACTTGGAACTGCAGAATAGTTGTTCATATTGGATGAGAGAAATTGGTTACAAACCAATAAATCCCTCCTAGTACAGTTACCCAGATATATCATCATAAACAAGAATTTCAATGGGTTTATTTGAAAAATGTTGATAGACAGATGTACCGCTTTTGAAGGTAGTTTGGTCTATGAGTTTTTGATGGTTGAAAATCTAGAATCTCATGTGGCTTGAGAAAATCTTCCAAGATTGATATTGCTAGCACAGTTGAAGAATATCCTAAATATAAATCGGACAGCATAGAAAATAATAATCTGATAAACTGAGAATATTGAATTCCAGAATGCATATTTTCTAGTGAATGAATTTCGTTCAACCGAAAATATATCGTATCCATTATGTTCATTTAAGAAGAAAGAGCTAAAATAGGAACTGTACTGAAGATTTGATTAATTGAAAAGAATGAAAAAGGTTAGCCTTTTTGGCTGTAGGGCATATAGACCCTACATTACCGAAGTAATCATAGAAATGAATACGAGCCCGTGCTATGAATCGCACGTTAAAAGATAAGACTCCGTTAATACCTAGGTCGCACAAGTTTCTACTTTTGAGGGTTGTCGTTCGTTGGGGGACAACAGCTGGTTAACGTAAAGAAGATTTTAAACAGAAACAGATTTAACTGTTAAAAAACTGTAAGATACTAAATATGTGTATCTATAAAACTAACTCTACTGAAATATTGCAGACAACAGCAGTCTCAGCCTCTATCATTCAGAAAACATTGTGTCAGCAAGAGACAAACTGTTAAGATTCAAGTTTTGCTATTATATCCTTTTTATTATTCAATGATTAGGATGCTATGTATGTTGGACTAGTAATTTTCAATTACATAGATTTATGACATTGCTTACAACATGTGATGATTTATCCCAGATATCCTTTCTTTCATTGCATGGTTCATATTCTCACCGCACACGCTATATATGCACTTTAGTTAGTGGTAATTATAATAGTAATAATAGTGACTCGGGGAACTGGTAGTTAATATAAACGAGTTGAAAAAAATGTAAAAACTTTGAAACCTTACTTATAGAGCGTTTGTCCATTATGATGATTAATATCCTGAAATGATACTGTTAAAATTGAAACATATTTCTGTCATAGCTTGAATATTTCTATCCAAATCACCAAATGAAAACATTTATATTATTCCATTTTTCATTTATTTCCTTATACGAGAATGTTTTCCTGAAAGACACCCTTATGCTAGGATTTCAAATTACGCCAATAACGTTATTTCGTAATAAGTTTATAAAATAAGTTTTATAAAATAGTAGAACATGGGGTAGGTATAGTCGAAGTAAACGATATTGTGAACATTTACAGTTGGTGGCATTCTCAATGGCCAAAAAAACCAATACATTGAAATGAACCGCCTGCGAAATAATCCACGTGGACTGCAGAATACGGTTCGTATTGGATAATTTTTACTAACCGAGTTTTATGATTGACTGAAGAGTCATAAAATTAAATTTGAAGTCATGTTACGGTTACGAATAGAAATCTGAGAATGCGGGGATAGTTATCGCCGTCGGGTTCACTTCAGGAACTGATCGCGATTTGAGTGTGGGAATTCGTTATTGGTGCAGTTATAATTATTTGAAATTTTTGTTATATGTTTGAAAGGTGGCGTCCTTGGAGGAGTACTAATAGTAATAACGAGTGTGATAACAACGCAGACTTTTTTCAGTGTAGTGATTCCAATAGCGATGGTGAACAATGCGAAAAAGAGGTACCAGTGAATAAGATTCGGATGTATTTGATATTGAAACACAGAGAGTATGTTTCAATGTATATAAGAATCTACATCTCAAGTTTAGTTTCGTGGGAAACCAACTATTACAAGCAACATCAGATTTAACCGAAATTCCTTTCTCAACTGTACGTAAAATAGTCAAAAACAAACCTCACGAACGCAAGACGCGATGTAATACAGGATTACCAAAACCTTTAGATGTTCATCTAATAAAATCATTGAAAAAAACAATATACGACTGTTAGAAAAGCAATGAGATTCCTACAACTGAAACGATAAGGAAAAAATTGAATATTTCCGGCCATAACGTGAGCTGCTGTGACAAAACACTTCACAATTGGATAAAGAAACTAGGATTTGGATTTGAAAAAATAAACAAACGTCAAGCAGTTATGGAAAACAAAGGAGTAGTGGAATATTGTAACAAATACTTAGAACAAATAACTAAATATAGACAAGAACAACGGCAAATTTTCTATTTGGACGAAACTTAGTGTGACATTCACGACATAGTTACGATGGTAGTACGCCTAACATGCCTACAAACAAAGGATCGCAACTAATCATTGTGCATTGCGGGGGAAGTAAAGGATGGGTTCCGAATTCTTTGAAATTATGTGGAAAAAAACTTGAGGACTGCAATGTTTACTATCATAAGCTAATATTTTCGAGGAATGGTTTGAAAACACATTGATCCCAAATTTGGATGCGAATAGTGTAATAGTTCTTAACAATACTTCCTATAATTCGCGACAGCACATCAAAGTACCGAATAAAAATTCGAGGAAAGATGAAATACAAAATTTTTTAATGGATAACAATTTGTATTTTGAAGATTACTATACCAAAAACCAAATACTTGAAGTTTTACAGACAAAAACATTTGAAAAAGCGTATGCCCTTGAGAGTATTGCTGAAAAGTATAGACACACTATACCGAGACTTCCCCCCTATTTTTGTGTTTTCAATCCCATCGAGCTGATTTGGGAAAAATTGATACAAAGCATAAGGCGCAAAAATAATTTTCCAAAATTTGATAAGAAGGTTGAGTAGTCATAACACCTACCAAACAACTTCTCTGTTTGAAATGTTCTCTATTGATTTTTTTTCTAATAATTAAACCTAAATATTATTTTCAATTTTCCAAAATTTGTTAAAATATTTTCAGTTAATCCACTTATTGAAAACTGCAACTTGTCTAATATTACCTAATATTTGAATAAACGTATGTGATTGGTGTAAACATGTTAGGTACTGCAAAAGGAAAATTATATTATTTGGGAATAATATTTTGCAAACTATAGGTTCTTCCAAGAGAACCACTTTTTGAAAAGAATTCATTTAGATTTGCAGACTTCATTTGAAATGTTACTCTGGCAAAGTTACTCACAGACCTGCTGCACCTATAAATATAGGATGCTTACCTAACCTAACCTAACCTAACTAGCGTCTGCATTTTACGAGTTACTGAGCAAAAAGTAGGCTTTCATACACATAATTGATCTTACTGACTGCGCCAATTATTGGTTTGGAACACGAGAACAACTTTTCAAAAAGACTTTATTCGGATTTACAGACTGTATTTATGATGTTACTCTTAGAAAGTTTCTAAAGGAATTGCCACTCCCGTAAAGATGGGAGGCTTTTATAACCTAATTATCGTCAGGATTGTATGAGTTTCTGGGAAAGTTAAAAGGAGGGTTTCAAATACATAATTTGCACGAGTAAGGTGTTTCTGCATGAAAACTGCATGATAGGAAATCGATAACTTTTATTTTTTTATTGGCGATAAGAAACTCTTGTTTGTGAAAATTCTTGTAAATCCAAATCAGAGAACTTTCTAAGTTCAGTCAGAATAATGACTTCATTTGAAGATCCCATTGACATTATTAAAAATATATTTCATAATTATGATACTATTTCTGTAATTGGATCCAAGAAAAGTTTTATAGTTTCATTTTCATATCAGAGAAAAATAGAAATTGTTTTGAAATTCTCCCTCAAAACTAGTCAAAAAGAAAAATACTGTGTATCTATATTCAAGTACCTACCTCTTGTAGCTCATTTATTTCTAATTTTAATTTTTTTGTTTAGGTCATTTCTTATTTTTGAAAAACTCAAATAATTATTAAATACTTGATTGAAAAGATCCAAAATTTAGGTATCAGTGTATTAAAATTTTCTACTGAGTGTTTCTTAGCGCCTATTTGTACTAACTCACCATATCAAAAATGGAGTTTTTAATATTAGACACCGTTGAATGTTTCATTTGTAACCATTATATATAGATTTATATCAAGTAACACGTTATGTAATTTTTTTGCAGTCCGAGTTATTGGCATGAAAACAAAACTACAATTTTTGAATGAATTCGATACACCAAAACAAATATCACTTAAAAAATGTCATTAG